TGTTTTTAAATGGGATTAAGTGATCTCAGATATAAAAGTCCTTTGGTGTGATGCGTTTGGTTTTATCTGCATACTGTATGATCCGACCGGATGTTTCCTGTGCTGAAACAGTGCAGGACGAAAGAGGAAACCTCTAACAGACCAATCGAAATGTAATGCGTAAAGATGGGAATAATGCAACGTTCGTTGTTCTAGTACATCTCCTGGATGCATGCTAATCCTGGCATACCGACACCTTTTGACTGAATCTAATAAAGCTCAGCATAAAGACACTTAAAACCACAGCTTAACAGCACCTATTATGGCCCAACATACACACTACAGCTGCTCATCAATAGAAGATGTTTAGGTTCTGATTATTACATCAGCTTTGTGCTTTTTCCATCATCACTCTTGAGTTTCTTATATCGATTTCACCCTTTCAGGTGGAGAACCCAGTAAGCATTAAGTGACTGTTAGTCATTAACGGAGAGGTAAAGCGGTGCGGGACTGAGGCGGTGTGTTGTTATGGTTGTAACAGCATGTCGTAACACCTGGAAAACCAACTTTCAGATTCTGAGGAGGATTGTGCGTCTGCAGTGTGGGGGGGGGTCTTTTCTTAAAACTCAGATGTAGCACAGTGATGACAAAGATGATCCGAAGATGTAATTTGTGTGTTTGCAGAGCTCCTGAATTTGTGCAGCTTTCTGAAACAGCTTGTGTATTTCATTGTGTAGCTTGTTTAGGAATGTGAGTGAACTGCATTGTGTTCAGTGTGGAAAGTTACCGGGCCTGATGTTAGTTCAGGCAACAATTGCTGGATATGAAATGCTTCATCGTTTCATCGTTTCATCGTACGTCTACCTGCGGTTTCACTCCACAGGAGTTTGAGCTGGATGTGGTTGCCATCGTGAACGACACGGTGGGGACGATGATGACCTGTGCGTACGAGGAACCCAACTGTGAGGTGGGACTGATCGCAGGTAAGTTAACACCACGAGGAAGAAAAAGACATTTTAATCCAAAAAATGATTGTGTCAAATTAAAAAAGGGTTAGTTCAGATGTTTAGAAGTGTGTTTGTATGAGGTTCTCCTCCACAGTCAGTGTTCTGCGACACTACGAAACTGTTATCTATTCTCTCTTCAGAGCCACAAGACTGCTTTTACTAAAACAGTAATTTTACACAAACAAACTAACTGATGGAGGCAGCGGTAGACCAGTAACTCCCGTGTTCTGCAAGGTAAAAATGACTGTTTTTGTCAATGGAGTCCGGTGGCTTTGAAGAGAGCATAGATGGATATAACAGCCGACAGGAAGGTCTGTCTGACAGCAAGGTATAGTGGTAAAACATTATAAATATAACGTTCACTTAAACTGATGTTGATTATTTTAGGAGTCCCGTGCTGGTTCTCCCGTCTGTCTCTATAAACTCATCTACTGTAGTAGAACCCTGACTGTGGAGGAGAACCTCACACACACACACACTTCATATCATTTGAACTGTCTATTTAAGGTAATTGGTAAATAATTAGACAGTGAACTTGTATACTCACATACATTCTTGTTATATTCTGTTTTCATGTTGATCTGCAGAAGCAAAAGGAAACACTGACCTACAGTTAGAAATGTCTTCGTGTGTTTGAAAACAAAGTCTGAGGCAGCGCTCATGGTTTTTGAGGTTGACGGGCTGTTTGTCCTCTCAGGGACCGGCAGCAACGCCTGCTACATGGAAGAGGCAAAGAACATCGAGCTAGTGGAGGGGAACGAGGGACGCATGTGCGTCAACATGGAGTGGGGAGCGTTCGGAGACAACGGCTGCCTGGACGACATCAGGACGAAGTACGACCAGGCGGTGGACGACAACTCGCTCAACGAAGGCAAACAAAGGTGAAGACGCACCTCCAGTATCAAACTACATCTTTTGTATATTGTTGAGCTAGTGTTTTCTTTCCTAAACGTACTCCTTACGAAGATTCGTCTCTTTCCTATGCGTGTCAGATATGAGAAGATGTGCAGCGGCATGTACCTCGGCGAGATCGTCAGGCAGATCTTGATTGATATGACCAAGCGCGGCTTCCTCTTCCGGGGACAAATCTCGGAGACGTTGAAGACCAGGGGCATCTTCGAGACAAAGTTCCTGTCACAGATAGAGAGGTGAGTGAGTCACATCTCATTCGTATTTATACTATTTCAAGCTCTCACACGACGTCTATTGAGTCCCTGAGGGTTCAGGGTTTAACGCTTTAGGGGACATTGAGCCTATTGTGTCCATTACTAAATATTGTCATAATTAAAAGGTAAAATATCTCGTTTTTTGGGGGCATTTGGTGGTAGAATTTGTGGTAAACGTTGAGAGGATAAGCGCATAACAGCACACGCTTAAGCAGCAGAAAAGCAGCATCCAGGGGGATTACACACCCAGGTACGAGAGGAGGAGGGGGCGCAGTGTGACGACTGGAGTTTATACACTGTTTAAGCCTACCTTAGCCTCTGGGAACAGCTGTGAGGTATCCGGTGACTCTCCTGCTGTTGGCTGACCTCTGACACCCTCTCTCCCTCCTCCCTCCTGCTCCGCAGCGATCGTCTGGCGCTGCTGCAGGTCAGGGCGATCCTGCAGCAGCTGGGGCTCGACAGCACCTGCGACGACAGTATTATCGTCAAGGAGGTGTGCGGCACGGTGTCCCGCCGCGCGGCTCAGATCTGCGGAGCCGGGATGGCTGCTGTGGTGGACAAGATCCGTGAGAACAGAGGACTGGACCACCTGGACGTCACCGTGGGTGTGGACGGCACGCTCTACAAGCTGCACCCACAGTAAGACACAGGACGAGAACAGAATAGGAGAGAAGGGTTCATTCATTCTCAAACACTGCAGTTCATATTGAGTTTCATCAGGATGCAAAGGGTGTCTTTTTGTATTTTCTTGTATCAAGCATGGATAGCACCTGCTTCACTTTTTCACACTAACAACTTTGTCAGCCCTTATACCAAAAGAATTAAAGCTGGAGCTGAAGCAATTAGTAAATGAATTGCTTTCAGATGGTCGACATAAAAAGAACAATTTGTAAATTTATCAGGCAAACATTTGCTGGTTTCTTCTCATTAAATATTAAGATTTGCTCCTATTTTTCTGGACTGTTAGTTTGACAAAACGAGCATTTTGCAGACATCATTTTCACCGTTTCACAGGCTAAAGGTGGCAGCGTCATTTTCCGTAAGAACATTTTGGCAGCAATAGTGGAGGGGTTAATGTCGATAACGTCGTTTGTAATTTTATTTTTAACTCAGAAGCCTGTTTTGTAGGTGCTTAACTGTTTCAATTACATTCTACTACCTCCGTTTCTACGTCATACTGCTTTTTAACAGTCCCGTACATCGCTACCTGTTATTTGCCAAATTTGGTGCTGCATTTGGTCAAGCCCCTTTTCACAAGAGCATCTAACAGGTTGTGACTTTAGTTGCATTGTAAATCAAAGGGGCTACTGTGTTATTAAGCATTAGAATTAGCTGAACAACTGCTCCTTTAACTCCAGTTCATCCTCAGTGATCCAGACATCCTTGTAAAACTTCCCTCGCTCTGCTCATCCTCGCTGTGAAGCTCAACTGAGAGCTATGTTTGCTGCTGCTTGTCCTAGAAAGCATCGTCTCCTGTCTTCGACTACAGCAGCGAACCGCCTCCTAACCACAGTTTCCCGTCGCTCTCCTCCCTTCAGCTTCTCGCGGATCTTCCAGCAGACGGTGAAGGAGCTCGCCCCAAAATGTGACGTCAACTTCCTGCTATCCGAGGACGGCAGCGGCAAGGGGGCCGCCCTCATCACTGCCGTGGGCTGCCGCCAGAGAGAGCTGGACGCGCAGCAGCAGCACTGAGAACCGCCTGCTGCTCCACAAGACCTTCACCCACCGCACAGCCCAACTCCACCTCCCATTGGCAGCCGTGACTCCACCTCTACCCCCCCCCCCTCCCCCCCACACACACACACACACACACACACACACACACACACAGCCAGAGAGTCATGCTGCATGAATAGGGAATTAAATATCTAAATATTTATTTATACCACATCAGAGGGTTTATTATTCACATGTTTGTACATTTTCCTCAACAGCTCGTCAGTAAACTGATCAATCTAAACTCATTAGGTGTGCAATATTTGTGTATTGCTAATTTTATTTTTATATGGAGGCAAATATATAATTGTATTTCTATAGCTGAGGCCACTTTGAATCCCAGAGGTCATAAGGATTTTGCACCATAGACAGGAAAATGTCGGCACTTTTTATACGAGAGTTACAAGAGCGGCATTTCAACGTAACTTCCAGATGAAAGTCGTCCTTCTCACTGAACAATGAAACTCGTCTTTAGGGGCTCCACTGGTTTCAGAACACCAGTTCCAAAAAGGGCTCGCTGCAAAGGGTTGAGTCACGGCTGCTCAAATCATCCTCATTTCTGTGCAACATGCTCACGCAATGTGCTTTGGCTACTAACCACCTTTTTGTGTACCTATCCATGTAACTCGCGTGTTAAAAGTATCGCAGCAGCACTGTACCATTTATTGCTCCAGAGGTGGGAGGCTAGAGGAGGCGTTAGGCGTAAACCCGTTGCTATTTGTGAACTACTATACTTTTGGTGTTGTGATGAATCCCACTTCTACTCAATGTTTGTGCAAAGAATAAATGTTTATTGGGCCCCAAGAAAAGAGCGGATACTACACGAGCGCTTTTGTGTGCATTTGTGGCTGAGCGTCAGTGTGTCCGGCTGTAACGACCTGTAGCTTTCAATGTCCCCAGCTCTGTGCAGACTGCATGCCTTACATTAAGACGGAGGAGATTACGGCTCATTTTCCTTTATTGTTTTCTTTTATTTTCTACATTAATATAGATTTGTGGTCCACACGGTGAAAAGTGAATTCATTAAATTATATTTTGTTGTGGAGTAAATCCTGGTGTGTCTTTCTTAAGCGTGTAATACTGGAGGGGAACTCGATTAAAAAGGAGATGAATTAGCTTTGAATTAAGCTTAATTGAGGTGTTGATGTCTGTAGCTCAGCTTTAATATCAATACAGGCTACAGATCTGAGATCTGTATTTGTTTTAACGTGGAGGGGTGGTTAAGAGAAATATTTACATGCAACCAAACAACAACTAATTGTTTCTCGTGGAATTCCATCACATGTCTTCTTAAGACACTCCGCCCTGCTTCTTGTTAACTATGTCATGTAGGGACTTTTCCCCATCAATGCTATTGTTTCTATTAAAAGGTGTTGATAACATAACTGGGTGCAAATGAAAACATAGCTGATTTCATTTGATCTAGAAATAAGCTTGACGGCAACCTAATGACAAAATATAATCTTTCAACACAAAAATAGAAATCCACTAAATGCCTGCAAAAGCAGAATTCATCCTTTGTGACTCTGTCAGATGAAGGTGGACAAAGGTCCAAGAAATGTTTCTTCATTATACATAAAAAAGATAAAACAAATACTAATTTAGACTTTAGATGTCAGAAAATGATAAAAGAGCTCAGTGTTTTTATGTCTATCAGATATTGCACATCTACTCAGACGCGTTATTGTGCCTTGATCTGCACCGACTTGATTCTTACTCAATATTTACTGCACATCCCCAACATTCCTCGTCTCTGCAGTACTGCATTGTACTCACTTCGAGTCCTTGAAAAGTACGAGCTGATCTTGGAAGCTCGCTGTGCCGAGTTCACCCGGAACAAGGCTACAGCACAGAGAAGATAAATCAATGCACACACTGCCTTTACACACAAGCAAACATCAAAATCTGTAAAAAATAATGTTTTCATTATTGTTTGATATGAATCTTTGTCTTTTCTTACATTGTTGCTTTTGTACTTATCCAATGCATTTAAGATATTGTATCAATTCTCTCCTTTTATGCTCATGCAACTCCCCCACGAGTAACACACACACACACACACACACACACACACACACACACACACACACACATTTGAATCAAATGTATAAATTAGAGTTGAAACAATAGCCAGTGTTTGCATGCATCGACCTTTTGTTACAGTATGTTTCCTGCAGTGTGTGCGTGGGTGTGTACAGGTGCGTTTGCATGCATTTTGCGTGCATTCACATCTGATGTCTGCGTGTTAATGTGTGCAGGCATTCGTCATACTTTTCTTCTTTCATTTTCTTTTCAAAGGGTGTGAGCCTCTTGTGTATTAATGTGAGAGAGGCACAGCATGTACATGTAATATTAGGGGGACGGTTTAGCTTTTGTGTGCCTCTCTCTGTACAGTATGCATGTGTGAGTCTGCGAGTGTGTGTGTGTGCATGTTTGTTTCCAGCTCCCACCAGGTTGGGCTGCGTTGTACTGAGGGCTTCTTCCTGCTGCATCCATCTGCCTGAAACTAAAAAAAAGAAGAAGCGCCGAGCTGTCACTGCACACAGCAGGTATGTAGTCACGATTAAACCAACACACGATGACACGATCGACTACCTGAGCGTCTCGTTAACGCGCTCTGTGCAGGAAAGAAAGAAAAAAGGTGGTGGCTGCCTGTTAGCTGGCATGCTAACTTAACTAGTTGTTTATGCAATTTTTAGCTAGTAATCGAGCTAGGTTAGCATCGCGTTGGAGCGTGGTGTGTGTGTGTGTGTGTGTGTGGGGGGGGGCTTTTATGTTGTGCCAGGCACATTGCCACTTTCCATTCGACATCTTTTATTTTAGGTCACTGTTGACGCCCAGTTTGCGGGTAGAAACGTGGACATTTCGTGCAGATTTCGAGCTGAGCGGCTAATGTCAACAAGCTAACGCTAAGCTAACGCTAAGCTAACGTTAGCTCCGTCACCGTTAACCTCTTGTTGCTGTGCAGCTAACGTTCGGCCGGTCGGTAACCTAGTTACATGAGCTTAACGGCTTCTATTTCCTCACTCCTCGTGCGTCTTGTTTTTTTTTTAAGTGACGTTATCGGTTAAAATTATCTTTTTTGGGGTGTCGCGTTAACCGGACACCAGCTGAGCAGAATAAGCCAAAATAAACTGACCCGAGGAGCTGTTTGGGACTCGCGCACGTGCATGTCATGTGTCCAGCTAAAGCAGGTGTTCCAGATGATGCACGCACGCGACTTAATTGATGGTTCATTAGCAGCTTCTCGATTGTCACCTTCAGCCACAGCTGTGTGTGACTGAAAAGACACAAAACCAGTGAGCAAAATGTGGTGATTATTAGCATTGAGTGTTTGTTGGATTAATGGATCAATTCAGCAGTGAAGAAACGTTCAACACTATTTCCCTGTTGGTCTTACCAGCAGTCCAAAACACAGATATGTTCAATTTGTAGTCGAGCAAAGCAAATAAGAAGCACATCCCAGCCTGGAATCAGGGAATCGATGCTTCATAAATGACTAATTAATCAACTTTCAAAAATTGCTGGTGATTATGTTGATTGCTATAGTATTTAATACAACTGTCTAGCGTTAACTCCCTCTCATTGTGACTTATTTCAGCCGGATTGTAACGGGGACAGTGAAGCTGGTGGAAACGTCCATCCCTCTCAGGGCATCAAAGGCAGCTCCTCACACACTTGAAGCCTCCATCGGACTCATGACTGTTTGAAGGAGACGCGGACCCACCGTGGCCCATGCACTGTACCCGTTTCCCTCCCTGTCCTCCTTATCCCTCAAGCTGACGCAAAACCCCAGACACCTACTCCCCCACCCCCACCCCCACCCCCACTCCCACCCGGTACCCAGCGACTCGCCGCCTCCCGCCATGGTGTCCGGCACCGAGACCGTGCACTACATCCACCTCCACAACTCCAGCCAGTCGGTGCTGGAAGCCCTGCGCACGCAGCGGCGCGAGGGCCTCTTCTGCGACGTGACCGTGCGGATACACGATGCGTCGCTACGTGCCCACGCCTGCGTCCTGGCAGCCGGCAGCCCCTTCTTCCAGGACAAGCTGCTGCTGGGTCACTCTGAAATCTCCGTGCCGCCGCTGGTGCCTGCCGAAACCGTGAAGCAGCTGGTGGATTTCATGTACAGCGGCTCGCTGGTGGTTCTACAGTCGCAGGCCCTCTGCATCCTCACCGCTGCCAGCATCCTGCAGATCAAGACGGTCATCGACGAGTGCACCCAAATCATCTCTCAGAGGAAGGCGGCGGCAACGGCGGCGGCCGCGGCAGCGGCCGCAGCAGCAGCGGCGGCGGCGGCAGCGGCAGGGGGAGGGATGCTCGGAGGAGTTCTCCCAAAACAAGAAGAGCGCGGCGGGGGGAAAGGAAGAGAGAGCGGCGGCGGTGGGAGCTGTTCTGTTGGTGGGGGTGGAGGTTACGCAAACTTCCCCAACTTCATGGCTGAATGCGGGTCTAGCAACATGGGAGGGGGGTTGGGGGGTGCCAGCGTCAGCGAGAGCGGCCCAGGCCCGATGGAGCAGGCCAACACCGTGAGTCTGATGGCGCTGGGCGACATGGTCCCCGGCTCCATGTGCGGCGGCGGCGGCGACGGACTGGGCTCCGGGGCCGGCGCAATCCTCATGAAGCAGAGCTCCAGCTGCACTCAGGACGTCAGGTACAAGCTCCGAGACCTGCTGGCGCAGACGGCCAACGGAGCCGGCACCAGCAGCACGGGGAACCTCTCGGCGGGCTGCAGCTCTGGCGTGGGCAGCGTGGACAGCATCGGCAGGGACAGCCTCCGCGGCGGCAACACCTCCGACCTCGCCGACGACCTGGTGGGGATGGACCGGTACAGCGAGGAGGAGGACCTGGATGGGAGGGAGCGGGGGAGAGACGGAGAGAGAGACAGGGGGGCGAGCCACAGCCGCAAGCAGAGGCAGCCGCTAAGACTCCAGGTAGGGGGGGGGGGGGGGGGGGGG